GGAGCGTTTCGAAGCCTCCGATCGCGATCTGACGGTCCGTAACAAAGGGGGGTTTAGGTGGGCTGCAGGTGGGTTGTGAAAAGAGGTTGGGCCGAGATGAGAGAAGAGGAGTGCAGCCCGGCAACTGTTTCCGGAGACTGAAAACGTCCGACGTTTTGACCGACTATAATGTCGCTATAGTTATCCGTTGGGGCATCAAACGAACCCCGAATGCGATAAAACTTGGCAGGCGGCCTACCTATACTATAATAAGACCGCACGCCAACTTTTAACCCATTCTGAGAACATTTTCCGGCCACTTATAAAATAATATTTCGGAGGTGCCGCGGGCGCGTGCAAGTGTGTCTGGGTCAGAACGGACAACGGACGGAACTAGGGGAATCCGGACGGATGCAAGTTTTGAAAACATGAAGATGCAATGCACATGATGACAAGACAAGATGAAACACGCAAGCGAATAACATGGCAACGACAGCGAATAACTGGAAGACACCTGGCGCATCGGCCTCGGGGCGTCACATTGCTGCACTTTATTTACTTTTGTTACTTGTTGCTAGTTACAAATTATCCTACCACAAAATTATCTGTTACCACTTATTTCAGTACTTGCAGAGAATACCTTGCTGGAAACCGTTATCATTTCCTTCTGCTCCTTGTTGGGTTCGACACTCTTACTTATCGAAAGGACTACGATAGAGCCCCTATACTTGTGGGTCATCAAGACTCTTTTCTGGCGCCGTTGCCGGGGAGTGAAGCGCTTTTGGTAGGTGGAATTTGGTAAGGAAAAATTTATATAGTGTGCTGAAATTTACTGTCACTTATTATTATGGAAAGTAATCCTCTGAGGGGCTTGTTCGGGGTATCTTCACCCCGACCAGTAGAGCAAAGAGTTGCTCCTCAACCAACTGAACCTACTGAAAATGAAAATGAAAATGAAAATGTCTGCTTTAAATTTCCTTCGGGTATGTTAGAAAAACTGCTAGCTAATCCTTTTGCAGGAGATGGAACAATGCATCCTGATGAGCACCTAATATATGTTGATGAAGTTTGTGGATTATATAAGCTTGCAGGTGTACCCGGAGATGTTGTTAAGAAGAAGGTCTTCCCTTTATCTTTAAGGGAAGATGCATTGACATGGTATATGCTATATGATGATACGGGGTCATGGAACTACAAACGATTGAAATTAGAATGTCATCAGAAGTTTTATCCTATGCATCTTGTTCATCGTGATCGCAATTATATATATAATTTTTGGCCTCGCGAAGGAGAAATCATCGCTCAAGCTTGGGGGATGCTTAAATAAATGTTATATTCATGCCCCAATCTTGAGCTCTCAAGAGAGATGATTATTCAAAATTTATATGCTCAGCTTTCTGATAACAATCGCATCATGCTCGATACTTCTTGTGCTGGCTCTTTTATAATGAAGACTATTGAATTCAAATGGAATTTATTGAAAATAATTTTTTGCCATGTCCAATTTTTTGTCAGAATTTCCCGTGCTTACTAAACAAAATTGTCGTCGCCCAGATAACAGAACTTGCCCCAAAAAGGTTTGATTTGTTATGCTTTAACCGGTGATGAATTTTTAACATGACCATAGAATAATTAGATACTTGGTTTTAGCTACCCTGCCGATTCTAAATATAAGCCTTTTTCAGAGATTTCATATAGACTACATATATTGAAATATCTAAAAAGACTTATATTTAGGAACAGAGGGAGTATTAGGAATAGAGTAGTAGATGATTAACCAGTGATGAATTTTGAAGTCTTTAGATCATCAGGAGGGCAAAAGCCCCAGGCTCCATTTTATAAAATGAAACCAGATAACAGAACCAACATCATGCCAAGCATGTTCAAAGACCAAACTGTTAAGCCGATAAATCGACTGCAACTAAAGCACAGAAGCCTAAAGAAAACAAAACTACATGTTTAAAATTTTGCCGAGTCTGTCGACATTAAATTTTAAACCCTTTCCTCTGATCAAAATTAACAGGTGATACTGGAATATCAGTAGTATGTCGTAAATCTAGCCAGGCTGGTTGGATTTGGTCCAGTCCGGCGAGCCTCTTCTCACTCCGAAACATCGCACCCTCAACATGTCATGTGGGCTCACCGCTAATGAGGCCCGCATGTCATTGACAGCACGCGACGGCTCCCGGTTTATCCGGTGGCCAGACAAACCAAAAGCAAAGAGTCCATGTCACCGCCGCTACTATGCCACTGCTACTGGGCCCAACGTATTAAAACCCCAGCAACCCTCCCCGGTGATGAATAACCTCACCGACAAGCCTACGCACTGACATCTGGGCCCACGCCATCCCCGGGTCCCACACGTCCGTCTCCATTTCGCCACAGCTCAGATCCGCGGCGCACTACCCACTCCACTCCCCCCTACTCGGCTACTCCCTCCCCAGTCCCCACTCCACCCGATGGCCGGCGGCCGCCCGTTCCGGCCGTCCGCGCCGCGCCGCGCCGCGTTCGCCGCCCTGCTGACGCTCCTCCTCCTGGCGTCCCTCGCATTCCTCCTCTCCTCCGCCCCCGCCGCCGCCTCCTCCCGCTCATCCTCGGCATCGTCCCCGCCGTCCCGCCTCGCCGCCATCCGCCGCCACGCCGCGGACCACGCGGCCGTCCTGGCCGCCTACGCCGCCCACGCGCGCAAGCTCAAGGAGGCCTCGGCCGCGCAGTCGCTCTCCTTCTCCGCCCTCTCCTCCGACCTCTCCGCGCTCTCCTCCCGCCTCGCCTCCCGAGGCCCCCTCCCGGAGGAGGCCCGCAGGCCCCTCGAGAAGGAGGCCCGCGACCGCATCAAGCACGCCCGCCTCCTCGCCGCCGACTCAAAGGAGGGGTTCGACACGCAGTCCAAGATCCAGAAGCTCTCCGACACCGTCTTCGCCGTCGGCGAGCAGCTCGCCCGCTCCCGCCGCGCCGGCCGCATGTCCTCCCGCATCGCCGCCGGCTCCACGCCCAAGTCCCTGCATTGCCTCGCCATGCGCCTCCTCGAGGCCCGCCTCGCCAAGCCCTCCGCCTTCGCCGACGACCCCGACCCGTCCCCCGCGTTCGAGGACCCCTCGCTCTACCACTACGCCATCTTCTCCGACAACGTCCTCGCCGTCTCCGTCGTGATTGCCTCCGCGACGCGCGCCGCCGCTGACCCCTCGCGCCACGTCTTCCACGTGGTCACCGCGCCCATGTACCTGCCTGCATTCCGCGTCTGGTTCGCGCGCCGCCCGCCGCCGCTTGGCGTGCACGTCCAGCTCATCGCCTACTCCGACTTCCCGTTCCTCAACGCCTCATCCTCGCCGGTGTTCAGGCAGATTGAGGCCGGCAAGAGGGACGTGACGTTGGTCGATTACCTGAGATTCTACCTCCCGGACATGTTCCCGGCGCTGCAGAGGGTAGTGCTCTTGGAAGATGATGTGGTGGTGCAGAAGGATTTGGCGGCCCTTTGGCATGTCGACTTGGATGGGAAGGTGAATGGCGCCGTGGAGATGTGCTTCGGGGGGTTCAGGAGGTACAGGAAGTATCTCAACTTCACGCAGGCCATAGTGCGTGACAGGTTTAGTCCCAGTGCCTGTGCGTGGGAGTATGGGGTCAATGTGTTTGATCTCGAGGCATGGCGACGGGATGGCTGCACCGAGCTGTTTCATCAATACATGGAGCTGGTGAGTTGCGGCACTCTTTTGTTACAACCATATGGTTACAACTTGCAACATTCACTATTATGATACCTTACATTTATCTGTGGTTGCATCAGTTATTTGTTATGTTTGGTTTTTGATAGGTGTTATGTATTGTGGTAATTTAACAATTTCACTAACTTAGGTGCACGTTCTACTTAAGTTTCTTTATCACTGCCATTATGCTCATCTTGGGATTTGGCACCTTTATTTCCCTTGAATTTCTTGAGTGAGCATTAAGTATAGTAGTTTTGTTCCCAAACATCATTTACCTGGTAAAATGTTTTTGACGGAACTCTTGGGAAACAACTCCATTAAGCTCGACATTGACCACATATGATGCATAAATGTTCCACAATTAGATGGACTGGACTTTGCATTTGCACAATGTGATCTTATATAGCATAGGCCGTCTGTATTGTTTCACAACTCAAAATTTCCGCAAGTTAGTACTTTACCATCTTGTGGCTACAATACTCACTGATCTTTTCAGACTGTATAGGTATCAGATAACATTCAATGGATGTGCTCACGCTCGTCTAAGTACATATTAATAGGAGTGGTTAGGGATGCCTTCTTTTTAGTTCAAATGTAGGATATCTTTGATTATGAGTTTGTAATTAAGGCTTACCAAATTAATTGGCTGGATGATGTTTTTTCTTCTCTTTGAGAATCTCATGATACTTTTTTCTTTAGAATACCTAAATATGTGCCATTACCTTCTTTTCCTTTTTGTTTTCATTCATTTTCTCAGAATATGCAAAATATAAAGTCTAAATGATGCCTCGTCAATTCTTTTGTTTATAATGGTAAATGTTGTATGTGGTATGGCCTTGATTGTCGACTTCATGATAATTACAACATGTTGCCCAGAAAAGTTCCTAAGTGAAACTTGGGTATTATGCAATTGATTTTTGTTTTCTTATCCCTAAGCATTTATATATGATGGCCAAATCTACAACCACTAAGCTAATAGAAACAGTATGTGCAATTTATGCTTAGGCATTATTCTTGAAATATACCACTGAGTTAAAATATGCCACATATGTAATGCCTGTAAATAATTTTACAAATGATGCCCTCACTTGCTAATTTTTGCATCATAATAGCATACACAGTTCTGTGTACCTCACCAAAGCATTGATATATGTGTGACTATATGACTCAATATTCTCATGGCAGAATGTGGATGGTGCACTCTGGGATCCGACATCTGTTCTACCAGCAGGGCTGATGACATTCTATGGCAATACCAAGCCACTTGATAAGTCATGGCATGTGATGGGTCTTGGATATAATCCAAGCATCAGCCCTGAGGTTATCCGTGGTGCTGCAGTGATACACTTTAATGGAAATATGAAGCCATGGCTTGATGTTGCTTTCAACCAGTACAAGTCTCTGTGGACCAAGCATGTAGACACTGAAATGGAGTTCCTGACACTATGTAACTTTGGTCTCTGAAGAAATGCTCCAAAAATAAGGCAACCACCAATATATTGTTCTTTTATGGGCAAAGAGCCTGCACGTGAATTATCTATTTTTATCTGTAGCAAAGTTTCTTACCTTTGTGGTGGTCAACTATGTTCGTGTAGATTTTGTAGTTTGTTGATGATAGTATTTATTTTGTTACTGTAGCTAAGATGTATTAGATCATTGTGGTATAGTCGAAGTATGTTATAGATGAACATCTGTGTACTATCTGTAGCAAACATATCTCCAACTGTATTTATGGAAAGGAGGAAAAAATATTGTATCCAGAATGACAATTTATGCTTTTTATTATGCCACCTTATTTTGTTTCACTAACGGTTACTGATAAAGTGATAATAATAGTTTTGAGTATGTTGCTGCCATGTTGTGAGCGAAATTCCATAGATTGGCACTTCATCAGCAATTCCTTCTAAAAGTTGTTCATTCGAAGACTGCTCCTACCTAGATTCTCACCTGCTATCTGGAATCCCAGGTATGCTAACTGGTTCCTCTATACCTGAAGATGGATGGATATTTTATCTTTATGTGACTGTAAATGCTTGCTTTTCTTCCACGCATTTGATTATCTTCCCCTTGAGGATTAAATACTTTGGTACTTATCACGGACATCGGTAATAATCTTATATGTATTAAATACCACATCTACTTATTATCTCCATTGCTTGCTGACTTTTCATAAAACTTGCACCGATTCCTTAGAAAATGGGGAACTTGCACCGATTCCTTAGAAATTGGTGCTAGATACATCCATTTGAGGGACAAGCTTTTTCGGACAGAGGGAGTATATGCAAAAACTAATACTTGTTCCTGTCCTCTGGTATTCCTTTTGAGGCAGTTTCATAGATCAATTCTTCTTTACAGTTCATCTGGCATTGGATCCCATTGCACTGTCTATTCGTATATATGGTTGCTCTTACGACAATTGGAATTTACTTTCATGTACTTATGGATGTTATCAGCATGCTCAACTACTTGTCTACTGCATAAACTCAATGCTTCTGCTACTGGTTTAACAACAGCATCCATTTGCACAATTAGAACTGCTGTACACTTTGTACAACAGGGTATGGTATTTCGTGGTACCGGTGGGTTAAACATGACATTTTATGAAAGTTTTAGAGGTATGGGTAAATAGGTAACTGGATGACCAGTTTTCCTACCAATTGTTGAATTACTGGAGTTTCCAAGCAACTTACTGACATATGTTTTTCAGTGACATTGCTACAAAGACAACACGACAAGTAAAATTGCGAAGACAATCCTTACGGTACCTTTGCGTGTACCTGGCGGGAGGCTTCTTGTTTGCTACCAAGTAACCTGTGGTTGCAATTGTGTAAAAAATATAACAGATCAACATGTGCTGTGCTGTGGAGCAATCACTCTTTTGAGGTGCATTCACAGAATCGTCTTTGCTTTAGCATCAAATAATCTATCTATTATATAATTAAAACAAGGGTCAAACAAGCCATCATATTCGTCCACACAGATTAAATTATTCAGGTCATTAGATTTAGATATTAAGGGCTGAGATTTAAAGGAAAAACGTAACATACAAATAAATATTGTTATTTACGAAACGTTCAGCCTGTCACGTAATGGACAGAAAAAATTCGACCTATCACGTAATGGACAGAAAAAAATCTGAGACGAAAAAGGAAATCTGAACAGTTCAGATTGTACGTGCAAAAGAAGTACTACTCTTTTTTCGTGGAAGCTAATACTACTTTGGAAGGACTAGGAGATATAGGCAAGTCAAAACCTATTACGTGTTGTTCTAAAAAAACCCTATTACGTGTTCGCACAAGCACAGAATATTTGGGAACTGAAAACGTATAGGGCAACAATGCTACGTTCACGTTGTAATACTTCTGGCTATCCAACGCCCGCCCGTCTAGAGAAAGGAGCCATGACTTCGAAGAACAGCCGGCAGGCGGTAATGACGACGAGAGAACCAGTGTGCGCGTAGAAAAGCAGCTCTGGAGTTCCGGTACTCACGAGTTGTGGCTTGATCCCAATCAGTCGGCACAGTCCTTCCACGTCCGCCGATGCCGATGTATAGCGACAAGGATGGGAAGCACTCGGATATAGCGTGCACGAGCTGACCGGAAGCTCGCTATTGTCCATGCAAACATCCATCCTGTGCCATCACCGGCCGGGCACAACTATCGCATGCGAGCAATGGCTGAGCCGCCGGAGGAATTCTGCGGATTGGATCCTGATTTTAGATGTCTTTTGTCAAAACAAAAGGTGGGGGCAGAAGCAAGAGAGACGGTTGATGGATGTGAAGCATGGATGGGAGCAAATCAGCTGAGCAGGTAGGCTCTGTCCGACCAGGACCACCTCCGAATCTCCGGCATAGCGATGCCAAGGCTGCTGCCATGCAAGGCGTAGTCTACGATTTCAAACGACGCAACAACAGTATAGAAGACGTACTTATGTGCCTGTGCACGGCATGAGAAGGAATATGACGACAAACTGAACATTTCATCAGCTAGCCTACACGTGTGGGCGGTGACGGCAGAGGTGCATGTCACGGGACATGAATGCGGCGGCGGCGTGGTCGGAGTCATCGCGGTGGCATTACCATCAAGCCGAGTCAAGGGGCGAATGTGATGGGCTTCAGCCAAGCATAACACGCGCGTACGCATGCATCAAGATGTGAACAGGGGCACTGATTAATCTTTCTCTTGCCCACACACGTACACTGATGGATTCTTCATAGGTAAGCTATTACATGACATATCTATGATCTTACCAACTAGGCTCACTAGTAGAAAAAGGACCTGTTGTCCAGATTCGTAAGGGCCTTTTGTCCTGATTCCTGAACCGGGACTAAAGGGTCGGTACTAATGCCCTGTCCCTTTAGTCCCGGTTTAATTTAGAACCGGGACTGATGGGCCTCCACGTGGCCTGTGCGCGGAGCCCAGGCAGGAGACCCTTTGATCCCGGTTGGTGGCACCAACCGGGACCAATAGGCATCCACGCGTCAGCATTTCTGTGGTTGGGGTTTTTGTTTTTTGTTTTTGAAAGGGGGGGAGGGGGTTTGGGGGTTTTGGGGGGTTAATTTAGGTGTTTCATATATTGTGTTAGCTAGCTATAATTAATAGAGAAAAGTGTCCTCTCTTATGTCCGTGCTTGGTCGACGCTACGTACTATACATACGTATAGAGAGGACTAGACACGCTAGCTAGCTAGTAAGCAAACGAAGGAAACAGAAGATCGTCATGAACATATATGCATACAGAGAGAAGTGATATCAACCACCTCTCCTTCTCCGAGAGATTGGTCGAACAACAAGTTCTCGTATATCTATCCGACACTACCGGCTACATATATACAATAATTATCTCTTACAAATATAATCATACGGACTCATGGTCCACATAGTATTCTCTGTCTTCAGCGATCACGTGGTCAAGAAAGAATGCCGCCAATTCCTCTTGAATTGCTCGCATGCGAGCTAGTGCTAGTAGTTCATCCCGCTTCCGAAACATCTAATTTGAAGAAGGGGGTCAATACATATATATATGAATGAATGAAACTCAACACAAATGATGGTAATAAAATAAAATTGTGAATGTTGTTATTTACGTACTTCATATTGTTCGTCAGTGTAGCCCCGCTCACAGGTCGTGTGGCGGATGGACTCACAAACATAGTATCCACAGAAATCATTCCCTTGTTCCTGCCACAACCATTTTATAAGAAATAGAGGTCAATCAAACTGATAAGTAAGAATGCCAAATCAATAGGAGATGCGCGGAACATGCTACTATAGTACTTACTTTCGGGTGTCTAAATTGCAGCTTCTTCGGGAGTCCTGGAGCTTTTTTGGAGAATTTTTTCCAAACCCTGCCAGACAAAGAAAACAATTACTTGATATATCAGGAAATGAACAAAGTTGCTGATATGGTGGATAATGATCGATTTAACTTACTTCTCGAGCATTTGAGTCATGTCCGCATAGTCCTGGGGATATTTATTTTCGTCTTGAGTCTAAGACGGTTACTAGTCCCTGCCCAAGCTTAATCTCTAGGAGAATATAGTGGTAACTGCACACACATGCATAACTCATCAATTACATTACTATAACCTTGATTAATATATAAGGGAAACCGAATACGCACAAGACAGTAACACTCACTTGAAGTTGTAAGGAAAGAGTATTATATCTTTGTTTTCATTTATTACCAACGATCGTAGCAAGTTGGCCTCGGTAGCTGCGGCATGAAATTTAACCTGAGTTGCATCTATGAGATATGTGTTAATGAACCCAATATCACCGACTTGTCTTTTCTTCAATTCAGCGATCTTCAATCTGCATAATATAGTGAGGATGATTATAAATACATGCAATGAAAGAGCTGAGCTATATAGAGAGACTTAATGACAGAAGTAGTACTACTTACAGATAGTAGCAGGTGACCGTTGTTTTATCGAGGGCCAATTAATTGAAAAACTGAAAGAACTCCTCAAATGGAACAGGCAACAGTTCAATTCCAACGAGGTCATGCTCCTTTTTAACTTTCACATACAAAGTACTCCTCCCCCCAGAGTCTTTGCAGATTTTCAAGTACCAATCATGCAATCTTCGCATCATCGTTGATAGAGATCTTTCATCTTTGACGAGAGGCTTCCCGTACTCGTATCTTTGTATCTGCACCTCCATGAAATCATAATGTACATCGTCGGGCAGGTAATCGCCAAGATTGCTATAACCGGGCACCATCCTCGGATCATTAGCGACGTTGTCGCTAGGCACCTTGAGCGGGGGGCATGATTGCTTTGCTTGTTCGCCGAGCTGGGCAATTTTTTTCCCAGCTCGTCGTTCTTTCAGCCTTTGATCACTGACAGTACTTCCCGACCGCTCCGCTTCGGCAAATTCCTTTCCAATAATGCGCTCATAGTTTCCTTTCGGCGAAGACTTGGGTGGTTTTGTCAGGGCAGCCAGAGTGCGCCTCGCTTTCACC